CAGGACGCAACTTGCCGAGGAAGGTGTCGGGAAGCAGCCACACAGATCCAGCAGACATGCGGCAGCCAAACCGGCGAGAGGAAAGGCGTCCGTGAACATGCTCGCCAGGTAAGCTGATCGAACTCGACGTCCTTGAAACCCGATAGCTTTCACAGACCTGGAGAAGCGAGCAGGCGCACCCGAAGGAGCAGCGTGAACGAACCCAAACTGGCGCGGGAGGCACGACGCAGCCAAACTGGCGCGGGAGGCATCACAAGCTGGCTCCGAGAACACGTCCACGAAACTGCCGAATTGAAGCCGGCGTAGGGTGAAGGAGCGACAACCCACATGATAACCAGCGGCACCGCCACCCCAGGACGCAACTTGCCGAGGATGATGTCCAACAAGCAGTCACGCAGACCCAACAACGTGCGGCAGCCAAAGCGGCAGGAGGAGAAACGTCCATAAACCTACTCTCCAAGTAAGCTCATCAAACTCGAAGTCCTTGAAAACCAAATGGCCTTCACAGACGTGGAGAAGCCAGCAGGCGCACATGGGAGCAGCGTGAACGACCCCGAGAGACGGGCGTAGCTGCTTAGCTACGCAAAGCGTCAAGAATTTAGGCGGGATCCACCATGGACCATGGGCCCCGAGCCCCAGGCCTCTTCGGGCACAACCAACAACCGCTTAGGGGCCTAGCACACGGCCCCGAAGAGCACCGAGGGCACGCGCAGCGCCACTATCTCGCTGCGAGGGGTGGCGGACGGCGAAAGTGGCCCGACCCATCAGCTCGTCAGACCTCCGCTGCCAGCGGAACCTGTTGTCTGACTTGTTCATATGGGCCGTCGGGCAGGGACCACATTCCAGCGGCCGCTGATGCCGCTCTCAACGCCCGTCCAAGTGGAGGCGTGTGCGCGGCCCGGCAGCATCTGGACTCGCTCTAAGAGGCGCGCGCCCTCTGTCGGCAAAGGAGCTCGCGGATGCCCGTCAAGCCACCCTCACGCGCCGGGACAAGGGGTCAAAGTACCCCAGACTCACTGGATCGACACCCTCGACCAAGATCGGCAAGCTGCATCTCGCCAAACCAACCTTTTATGCCGTCAGGTGGTTGGTCGGTAGGATCGCCCCTTCCTCCAACGAGGTGCTTCCGGCGAAGGGCCCGCCCAGACCCTGGAGGTTCCTGCTACATTGCAAGTGCCGCCCCAGTTTCTGGCGGACGGGCTCGACGCCCACACCAAAGCGTCTGACCTAGCGCAGCAGTTGTTCAGCCAGTGCGACAATTCCAGTATCTGTGCAGACAAGCTGCCTCTGCGTACATTGGTGAGCAGTTGAAGACGCTCGCAGCGCAGGCTTAATCTTTTTCGCACAAGGAACGGAAATATTAGCTATTCGATTCCGCGGACAATGGCGCCTGACAGGCCCTCCGCCATGTGAGATATAGTGAACCTGGAACCCTGGACTCACAGCAAGTACATTGTGCACGGGCGGCGCCGTGATTTCCAATCCTTTGGTGACGCTTTTCAGCTGAAGCTACAGAGTCGGCGCTGCAACGCTGTGATGCCCCACCTGCCCCGAGAGCCAAGCTTGCTTATGTCGACGCCGCTCACATCACTGCCGAATGACTCCGAGCTGCCTATGGGCGCTGCGATGCTAGTTCAGCCACTGATGACGGGCTACATCTGAAGCATTCCGACATTCTTTTGGATGGGTTCCTCTGAGGACGGGGCGAATACTTCAGCTGATATGGAGGCCTCCGGGCGGCTTCCTGTTCTGACCAGCGCCGCCGACCGATCACTCCACAACATTCTGGAGGCTCCAGACCCATCGGCTTCCTCAGAAGCGTATACCCGATCTCAGGGAGACGTCGCTGGGCTTCCGCCGTCTCCTGGGTGCGCGACTTCAAAACACCACATTATTCAACTCGGCTGTAGTCGACATTGCGCGGCGACAGAACTTCCGCAATGAATCAGCAGCGCGCGAAGTGTGAGCTGCTCTCCCTCGGGACCGGCGAAGGCAGTTTCGAGCTCGCGCGCCTTCTCACGCTGCTGGGCCGTCGCGCCTGCAGGCTTTCAGCGCAGACAGCCCAGCTTACTGCTCGAGCTCCCGGCTTGGCGCGCTGTACACGCTCGCCTGGCACGGTCGTTGGCGCACTCAGCACCACCACCACCAGGAGCCGGGGAGCCGGGGGCGCGGGCGCCGCGCCTCGAGCGGTCGTCGCCCGCCGAGCCCCCCCCAACGCCCCCCCCCCCTGGGGGGTGAGGCCCAGAAGCTGGAGGAGGTGGAGGCGGGGGGGTGATGATGGGGATGATGGTGGTGTTGATCACGGTGGGGTTGATCATAGCCCAGCTTGCTGCTCGAGCAGCGTGACCGCGGGGCGCCATGCCGCTGCTATCCAGATCCAAGCTCAGTCGGCCCCCGCCCTGGCCGCTCCGAGGCTCGTGCCTCGCGTGGGGCCTCTGCAGAGCCCGCGGCCCGCTCGGCCTCGACCTCGAGATCGGAAGCATGTCGGGACCCTCTGGCCGTCGGTTTCGCTTGGGTGTGTTTTGATGGGCCTGTTTTCCACCACCACCACCACCACCATGAGTTGGAAGGGGGAAGGAGGTGGAGGACGAGGATGACGACGAAGAGGAGGAGGAGGAGGAGGAGGACGAAGAGGAGGAGGAGGAGGAGGAGGAGGAGGAGGACCCCCTCCCCCTCCAACTCATGGTGGTGGTGGTGGAAAACAGGCCCATCATGTTTGCGAAGCATGCTTAAAGCATGCATGCTTGAGGCTGTCAACCGTGTCAGCCAAGTGTCTTGGAAGATGGGTCGTTCGGCCGTCCGCGCCAGTGCTCTGAGCTCCGCAGAATAATGCCTGCGCAAACGCTAAAACGTTCAATTCGACAGCGCGCTGGACGCGGTGCCGAGTTGCGTATTCGCCAAAGCGTTGCTGAAAAACAAATTCAGCACCTGCGACAAACCGAGGAAATTCTCAGGCGCTATGCCCTCGAGGCGTTGCACGACAGGTCTCCTGCCCAGATTGGTGCATGGCGCAGAAGTGAGAAGATAGTATGCACTTGAGTGGCGCAAGGTGCAGGTTGCGGCGGCCAGTACCAACATGCGATAGTCATGTCCTACGGCCCTACATTAGGGACAACATGCGAACCCTACCGCTGCAAGTCAGATGTCTGAAACGCCAGCTGGGGCTCGGAATTCGGAGGATGTCTGCAGCCAAACGGAAACCAGGGCATGTGTCCGACACCCCCCCCAGCGGTAGGGTTCACAGTCAGTCGCAGGTACACGGCACGGTGGAGATGCCCGCATTGCGCCTTACGCAAGCCAGGTATGGGCTACGTAATCAAGTTCGCCAGCTCCCAACTGCCATCCCGTGGACCGAGCTACGGCATGAACTGACTACCTACCAGACCACCCCAACCCAACCCGAAGACCCGAATTTCGGGTTGGGGGGGGTATGGGCTCCATATGTGTTTTTTCGATGTTCCCGGACCCCCCCCCACTAGAAATCGAGGGTAAATCTGAGCATTCGGGTTGGGTTGGGGTGGTTTGGTGGGTGGTGATGAACGAGGCATGCAGCCGCCCTGGCCGAAAAACCTGCCGCAGCATCACTGGCACACTGGGTGCCGTGAAGCTCCCGCTGGGACTGACGTCCTCTGCCCTTCCGCGAACATGCCGCAGCGCGCACTCTCGCCCTCCTCGGCTCAGCCACCCACGGCGGGGGAGCTGGGGGTAACCGCGCAGGGGCGGTTGACCCAGACCATACTGCTGAACTTCCCGGCCCCAGTCGCTATAGCAAAAACGGCATGAGCATGACATTCGCGTAGACCTCCGAGAAATTAAGCTAATGCCGTGTCTTGTTCTACTGAGGGGCAACGATAGGGGGGGACTGGCATAGGGGGGGATGCATCGACCTGGAATCGGCGATACATCGCCGATAGATCGGCGATAGGCCTCCTCCTGGACAGGCTGGGGCTATCGGGCCCATATCGGCGGTCAAGGGGCGATTGGAGGTCGATGAATCCCCCCCTGTGCCGATCCCCCCCTATCGTTGTCCCTGATCTACGATCCATGCCCCGTCCCCTCCTGCCTCTGGAGAACCTCCTCGGACGACAAATGGGCGATTGGAGGTCGATGCATCCCCCCCTGTGCCTATCCCCCCCTATCGATGCCCCTGGTCTACGATCCATCCCCCCTCCCCCTCCTGCCTCCGGAGACCCTCCTCGGACGACACCGACGGTGACGAGGGCGGCGGCCCTCGGCGGCGAGGGCGGCTCCTCGCGGTTTTCGCAGGTCCAGATCGAGAAGGTCAGCGGCAGCGAGGTGGACCGGCGGGGGGGGGAGAGGGAGGGGAGGGAGGAGGGAGGGGGGGAAAAGGGAGAAGTGAGGAGGGAAGGAGGGCGGGAGGGGAGGTGACGGCAAAGGAGGACACGGGAGGGGACGGGGGGGAGGGGACGGAAGGGAGGAGGGAGAGAGGGAGGAAGAAGGAGCAGCAGCTGCAGAAGAAGTTGACGCAACGGGCGGAGCGCCCTCATAGCATGCCTACGAAAGCAGAGGAGGAGGAGGAGGAGGACGAGGAGGAGGAGGAGGAGGCGGAGGAGGAGGAGGAGGAGTGAGGAGTGAGGAGTGAGGCGAAGGAGGAAAAGGAGAAACCATGTCTTCACTCTGTAAAGCTGCTGACCGCGATACCGCATTGGTTCGATCACCTCGTCTTCTTCGGCGTCCTCGTCGTGATTATACTTACGATGGTATGTGATCGTCCTTCCCTCCCGAGTTACAGTACGCTGAGGTCGCTCTATGCCCTCGCGGGCTTACCTTATTGCGGTCGTTCTCTGCGCGCTGTTCTTCGTGCTCGCTTGTTGTACAAGGGCCATCTCGGTCGACTAGATCGGATGCGGTTGTTGCAGAAGCTTCACAGAGACGCGACGGCTGCACAGTCCACGTGCGTGCATCGGTAAAACAAAAAAAAAGGACGATGACGAGGAGGAAGGAGCAAGAGCAGGGGCAGCAAAGGACGAGGAGCAGGCGGACCCACAAATGTCGCAGTTGGCCCCGCAGGTCTGCCCGCCGTCCGTGATGTGCCTCAACGGACGGGGCGGGCACTTCGTCGTCGTCTCCGCCACCGTCGCCGCCGCGGCCGCGTCCGTCGTCGCCGTCTTCGTCGAAACCGCGGAGGGGGGAAAGAAGAAAAGAGGAGGAGTATGAGCAAAGTCGGGTCAGTCGAGTTGACCAAGCCGGCGGGCCCTGCCCATCCCCACCCCCGCCCCACCCATGACAGATGGATCCAGCCTGGCACAACCTGGCATTGGGGCTAGAACGAGGTGCCCTTCAGCGAACGGAAAACTTGCGCGCGCGGCCCTGCCTCCGAGGATTCGGCGGAGGGGCCACGGCGCGGGCAACGCAGAGGCGGGAGCGGAACTTTGGGCAAGCCCTGCGCGGCGCTGCGGCGGGAGCACATTCCACTCCTATCTCGGAAGGCCAGACTTCCGATCGATGCGCGCGGCGGCACTGCGCTTTGCCATGCGCAGTGCCTGCGCCGACAGAGCCCAGTGCCCGTGGTGCTGTGCGCCAGAGATGCCCGCGCCTTGCCACGCGCAGTGCCTGCGCCGACCAGAACGCAATGCATACAATGCCTGCGCTGATTTCAAGATGCGCAGGCGACGCCTGCACCCCAATAGATGACGCGTTTGAAATACCTGCGCTCTGCCCTACGCAACAATTGCGCGTATACAAAGCAACGCCTGCTGTACACATGCTTCGTCCCGTTTTAGGTGAGATGGGAAATCGCCTGCCTGTCGGCGAACGTTTTTAAAATATTGGACGCCGCGGCCTCTGCTGCTGCGGTGTCACATGTTGACGGTCGATCACCAGCGACCCGCTGCCTGGCGTCGTCGCACCCGGACTGGGTGGGTGGTCACTTGATTTACGACAACCAGCTCTCCTACAGGCGTGACCCTACCATCCACTGCCGGTGTCTTACGTACCAGTGGCCGCGTCGTCCGAAACAGGTAGGAATGGCCCTGAATCATCCTCGGCATAGTCGACAGCTGTCGCCATGCTTATTGTAAGCCTCCATCATATTTCCAGCCTCCATCCATCCGCTGATAGCCAACTGTGAGACTGCACACACTGATATCCAAGTGGCCCTCATGCTAGGTCGAAGGCAAAGGTCGAAACTGAAGAATAAACAGTGACAGCACCATCATGGGTTATGATGGAATCACTGCAACGTATCTGCGAGTCGACCGCGGTGCGACTCACCAAACACAAAGTCCGTAGTATTAGCGCCTTCGCGCCAGCACTTGAAGTGAAACTGCGGCGGAGGGATATCAGGAAGAGGGGGACAGAATTGGAGATTAGCATGGGAGTTTATGATGACACTCGCTACTCAGTTGGGACAGCGAGTCTCTCATCGGCAGCTGAGGCCCCTCTGGACAACCACGTCACTGGGATCACCACCACCATCATCACCATCATCCGACTGCCACCAGGGTACGTAAGCGGGCCGTGCCGCCTGGCCCCAGTCGCGCCCCCGGGCGCAAGCAGGAGAGACGGCGGCAACTCCAGGGCGGCCAGGCAACCTTCTAAACCGAATCGAGGAGGAGGAAGAGGAAGAGCCGAATGAGAGAGGAGAGGAGGTCAGAGGAGAGGAGGTTCGGTTGGACCCGTCACCGCAAAGCTTGGGGTATACGGGAAAGGACGACCAGGGAGAAAGGGGGAGGAGCGATCCATTGGTGCCCCCCCATGGCTGAAACGGGGGTGACGATGGGTCATCCTCTTCAGCCTCCGCCTCCTCCCCCTCCCCCTCCTCTCCCCCCATCCTCCTCCTCCTCCTCCTCCTCCTTCTCCTCCTCCTCCTCCTCCTCCTCATCCCCATCCCTCCTCATATTCTTCTTTTTGTTATTCTTATTATTATCAGTAGTATTAATATTATTCATGTTCTTATTCTTACTATTATTAATATTATTATTATCATTAGCATTATTATTCATAGTATATGATGTATTATTATTCTTAGTATTAGTAGTACTCTCATCATTATTGGTATGATTATTCTTGTTCTTGCTATTATTCTTATGATTTTTATTACTATTATTCGTATTACACTTCTTCGTCGTAGTCTTCTTATTATTATTCGTACTAGTCTATTATTAGTATTCGTATTAGTGTTATTATTCTTCTTCGTCGTATTCTTCTTATTATTATTCTTAGTAATAGTATCATTCGTCTTCTTCTTATTTTTCTTTTTCTCATTGTGTTTCTTGTTAGTCTTCTTCTTTTTCCTCCTCCTCCTCCTCCCCCTCCTCCTAGGTCTGGGTCTGGGTCGGGCGCACCCAAGTGGGCCGCGCTGTGCCGATACCCCGGGCAAAGGGCAGGCGTGGCTGAGTCCCAAATAGGGCTCTGGCAGCGAGGCAAATGCCCCCGCAAGCGTGCCCGCACCCCGAGGGCCGGGCCCCACAAATGCAGAACAGTTTTAGGGGCCCCCGGGGAAACGCGCCTGCCCCCGCCAATAATTAGACAGCGCGCAAGTGCGCGGCGCAACTGCGCAAGCAGCCTCCACTTCCTCCACCTGCGTAACCCTGCCAGCCCGGGGGGAGAGGAGGGCCCCGACCGAGACAGACACGACGACGAGACGACGACCACCACGGCGACGACGACAACGACGACAACGGCGGCGGCAACGACGACGACGACGAAGAGGGCGACGAGGGCAACGAGGGCGGCGACGACGACCACGACCACAACCACCACGGCAACGGCGACGACGGCGGCAGCGACAGCAGCCACAACAACGGAGACGGCGGCGACGACGACAGCGGCAGCAGCAGCGGCAGCAAGGACAGGACGACGGGCGCGCGGGCACACTTTCCCAGCGGAATCCAAAGACCGAGCAGCACACGCTGCGAATCCGGCCGCGCCACGACCGCACGGTAGCCGCGAGCCCCGCTAGTCCCGGCGGCGGCCGCGCCCCCCGCCCCGGGAGCGGCCAGAGGAGGAGCGCGAGCGAGGCCGGCGGCGGCGGCGGCGGGGCCCGGCAGCAGGAGGGGCCGCTGCGCTCGCCCCCGGGGAGGCGGCGGGCAGGCTCGCAGCCGCGGCGGCAGCAGCAGCAGCGGGAGCGCGTGGGAGCGCCAGCGCGGGCGGCGCGCCCAGCGCCGGTGGGGGCGGCGCGGCAGCCCGGCCAGGTGCGTGGTGTTGGCTGCCCACCCAGGGGGTAGTCCACGACAGCGTCGCTCGGAGGAGACTCTCACGTACTTCCGGGCCGCCAGAAATCGTGACCTTGGCTTGTCGCAGCCAGATGTTGATTACACCACCTCCACCCAGGGGCCTGATGGCCAGCCCGATCCTGGCACCATTGGACCCCCAAAGCCAATAGGCTTGGCTGGCGTCCGTGTAGAGCGGGGCGCCCGCAGGGTGGGTCGCCACCAACTCCAAGACTTCCTGCGCTGTGAGCGCCCGGCCGTCCTTACGGGCCAGAAGAGCACGGCGGAAGCGGGCACTGCCCTCGCCTCCGGGCGCGGAAGCGCGCCGCGACCGCCGCGAGGAGCCGGTGGGGGCAGGCGGCTGCGGCAGAACCGGCTGCGGGGGGGCTGCCGGCGGGGGGCCCGAGGACGAAGACGAGCCACCCAGAGGCAGTGGGGGCGCCAGCGGGGGGCCCGACTACGCCGACGAACCACCCGGGAGCGGCGGAGCAGGAGGGGGCGCCCGCCACGGGGGTGCGGCGAGGGCCGCCGGCTCATGGGGCCCACCCCCCGGATGGGGGCCACCCGCGGCTGTCGGGGCCAGCACTGCGGCGGGGGCAGCGCCAGCGGCAACACCAGGCAGTTGTTGTTGGAGCACTGCCGCCAACGGGGCAACACCGAGGCCCCCAAACGCTGTCACCAGCGTTTCCACGAGCGCCCGGGCAGGGGGGAAGGAGCCATCCGGAAGTAGGAAAGCGCTCACGGCCTGCCCCAGGGTGACCGGGCGTCCCCACCCGCCGATCACGGTGGCCGCCGCCAGGTCTGCTGGAGATGGCATGCCAGGTGTCGAGGTGATTACCACGCCAAGGATATGAGCCACGTCCGAGGACGGCAGCGGCCCCGAAGCGGAAAGGGCGTGTACCATCATGCCGAAGGCCGGCCCCAGCCGAAAGGGCGTGTACCTTCAACCTCCTCCTCCTCCTCCTCCTCCTCCTCCTCCTCCTCCTCCTCCCCTCCTCCTCCTCCCCTCCTCCTCCTCCTCCTCCTCCTCCTCCTCCTCCTTAGCATCACTCTGTCCAGGATATATTTGTCCACACTGCCAGACGGACGCAAGCGGGTCGCGCAAGAGTGCCATATTCGACGAGGACATTCAGACACCAGCGCGGGAAGGACGAGTTTTTCCTTTCTCCCCTCCTGAAGCAGGGACCAGCCAGCCGCTGGCGTCCTCCTCCACATCCTCTTCTCCCTCCTGCCTCGCGGCCAGCGCCAGCTCGGGAGGCCCCCAGGATCCGAGCCCGCGCCACCAAGCTCCGCCCCCCCGCCCCCCACACCCGCCCACCACATTCCTGCGCGCCCTTCGCGGCCTCGCCATGGCGGCACCGCCCATAGCTGGCAGCACGCCTCACCAGCGGCGGCCCAACCGGTCTGCTGACGATAGGCGGGAGCAGCACCAGTGCGCCGATGCCCAGGGCCGCTTCTCGCTTGATGCAGGCATCTGCGGCCGTGGCCACTGACCGCGGGTCGCAGGCAACCCGCCCGGCGGCCGCACTCGCCGCCGCACTTGAAGCTCATCAAGCTCACGGGCATCCGCTAGGGAAAGGGTTGCGCTGGTGTTCCTGCTTACGCCGATCTCCCTTGGGCTGCTGCTGCGGACGTGCCGCCTGCTGGGCGTCGGGAGGCCCCAGTGGGCAAGGGCGATGCTCATGTTAAAGGTGACCGTGGCCTCGGTACTGCATGTGGCCGCGATACTCGTGAAGATGACTCGGACCCTCTTGCTGCCAGACGGCCGTCGTCACCTTACCATGGCCACCCTGGTGCTGGCCGTGGTGGCCCCCATGCACGTGGGC